TGGTGATCAAGAGCCACATCAAGAAGCTTAAACCCTATCAGCCTCCACTGGAGGGTCGCAACCCTCAGAAGTACATGCTTCTCGAGCCTTGGAAGAATTGGTGACCCCTGCTACTTCCCGGGGCTTTTCCAAGAGGACCCGGTCCTAACTTCCCAAGCTTCCCGACGCGAGGGATCCCGCTCCGGTGCCCGAATCCGGAGGGGTCCGCACCCTCAGACCTGTAGGTTTTGAGAACCGGTCGGCCTGTGAACGGAGCCGTTTGGGACGTACGCATACTTCCTGCCGTACGCTGGCTTCCTGCCGTAGTACGCTGGGCTTCCACCTGGTGTGCTGCTGTGGTGTCCAGTGTTGTTGGGCCCACATGGGTGGATGCGTTCAATCCACCAGGGAAAGCAGACGATCCACGCGACGAACCCATGACCGTGTCACCTGGTTTTGCTTGAGAGGTATGTGTGCGTGTTTATTTTTATTTTTTATATTTTTTTAATTGGCTAGTTTTCCCGATGGGATGGATGTTTCTTTTTGCCGCTTCCTTATATAACATCATATATATATAACCAAATCCAAGATGAAGGGATTCCGACCGCACTTGTGGGGACTCCTTCGTGACGGAGGGCGAGAAAGCACGTTGCAAGTGTTTGAGAAAGCACAGCGTTGGTGAAAGCACGAGAGGTGAAAGCATCGGTTTGCATCGGTTCACCTGGTTCTTTTTTGAAGTTGGGACATGTGGATCACATGACGCACGTTGGCCTATACAAGTGTTTTCCACATTGGAACATGGGGCGGCTCCCACTGTTTCTAGAACGTGTCTATTGTCTTTGGCCGTTTCCATGAGCAGGCATATTCAAGGCAGGCATCGGACACGTTCAAAGGACGCGGTGCTGAACACCACATGCTTTCATGCTTGTTGGCAACTCCTTGGTGTGTTTATTGCACCTGGGCACCTAGATAGAGGCAACCTCTAGAAAGGAGAGGAGGACCTGATCAGGCACTGGTAGGTGATGTTGAGAGCAATTGCATACAGTGCCACCGTGCCCGGGGGCATTGCCCTCGGACCACGGAGGACTTCAACGAGCGCACGGTCGAAGTGCCTTCCTTCGTGAAGGAGGCGATGAAAGACTTCATCGATCAAGGAGGCGGTTCGGGCCGCCGGGGTCGTGAGCTGTTCGAGTCCCTGCAGGACAGGCATTTGAGAACAGGTCTCTGCAGGACAAACCCCATTCGTGGGGTTCTCGTTTTGGGCGGCGTTTTTGGATCCAAGTCTCTTGTTGGGATCACCTCCCATTTGGGTCAAGGGTATCAAGGGTATCGGTCGGACCAGGTTAGCCTGGAGTGACTGAACCCATGGAAGAACCCAGTGAGATAGAGGTGGGAAGACCGCCAGATGCAGATTTCACGTCAGTATATACCAGCTGCTTCCGTTCGGGGTTACCTGGCTGGACAACCCTACACTGCTTATAGGTCACCAGACTGGACACCCAGACCGTGTCGCGCTAGGTACTCGTATGATATGCATTGATAGGGAAGCTTCTCCACAGCCCGGGCCCTTTGGATCGCTTCTCCACTGCGGATCGGTGTCCCGAGAAAACCGATGGAAAACGGCGCCGGACGAGGCCTCCAGAAGTATCCAGCCTATGGAGCTCTACAGATGCTGGGACGCAAAGACGGTCGAGTTCTCTAGCTCAGCTGCGGGTGTGCTGGGTGTGAGCTGGGTGTGAGCTGGGTGTGCTGGCTGCTTGTGATGCTGGTCGTTTTGGAGAAGCATCCTTGGTGAAAGCAAGCAAACCCCAGATTATGGAGCGGTTAAAGGGGGGAAGGGACCGGAAGGGAATATAGAAGTAGTATGACATTTTTGCTTTAACTATTAGAAGTTCTGGTTGGTATTTCTGCAGATGGAAGTACATTACAACTGTAGACGTGCAGTCTAGTCACAGTCCAACGATTCGGAACATCAAAACAACCGTGTGGTGAGTCATAACCCACTAGCTTCCCATGCAAGCAAGCAGCATGGGCCACACTTGCGGTTCCCAGAGCCGCTAACCTGAATGACCAACCTGAATCATCGTCAACTCTAGGTGTGAGATCACTCAGCTTGCGTTGAAGAGACCTGCTGCAGGTCTCTTCTCTTCAGACCTGAGAACACAGTTGCTCCAGAAATAAAAACACACTCTGACATTGGTTTTCAGTTAACTCAATTCCCAGGTCGAAAATGGTGAGGGAACGGCATGGTGAGAAAGTCAGTTCACTTGAAAGGTTGAACAAGCTGTTTGTGCGTGACTGCAGAGCTCAGCGTAGTGAACGAGCGGCGCAACTCAGCTGCAAAACCAAGGTTTCGGGGGTGGAAGCATGAAGGACCATGGGCTAAAAGCGGAAAAGGAGGGTAACAGCTTGTGAAGCACTCTGCAGGTACATGGTTGAGCGTCCTCAACCACTTCCCTTCCAGTGACCCAGCTTCGTTGGATCAGGTTAGTCACTGGAAGCCTGATCCCCCTGCCGTGGTAGCTGACAGAACCCTGTCACACACGATGCCGCTTTGCGGCGCTCGTGTGAACGGCCTTAATAGGTACCTAAAAAGCTTTAGAAACAAAAGAAAGAAACACAGAAAGAGCAGCGCTAAGAGGGCAAGAGAGAAAGGTAGGTATAGAAAAAAGTGAATACTTAGAGGTGGACTGGTGTAGGGAAACGAGCCTCAAGAGCAACCTAAAAAGCCTGAGAGGAAGCCCAAGAAGCGACCAAAAGCGTAAGAAGGAAAGTGGGGGGGGAAGTGTATGTACATGTGTGTGTCCGTGTGTGTGTGTGTATGAATACTTAGCACTCTAGAGTTACTGACTACTTAGCAGAAGCGAATTACGTGCAATAGTTAGGGAGCGGGACTTTAGTCTTAGACCGCCCGGGTAGAGAAGACTAGAAAAGGGACAACAGAGGGAAAGGCACCGACACACAAGTGTGCCGAGTACCATTTCCCTCTGTTACACTAATTAGGTAGGGGTTAGAACTCGGCGGGGGGGGGGTAGGGAAACATGCCTGACCTCAGGGGGGAATTCCGTTCTTTAGCCCGGCGGCTACGTTGTCAGTAAGCAGGTGTTCTCCGTAAGAAGCCCGGCGGCTTTTAATCCCGTCAATTCAGTACTTGCATGGAAGCAGTGACAGTGATCCACGATGAAACGGCGGTAATTCAGGAAAACGATTTCCGGTCTGAAAACAGCGCCTCCTTGCGGAGGGTCACACCCAGCACCCAAGTGGGACGGCTGAGCGGTTCACACTCTGACATTGGTTTTCAGTTAACTCAATTCCCAGGTCGAAAATGGTGAGGGAACGGCATGGTGAGAAAGTCAGTTCACTTGAAAGGTTGAACAAGCTGTTTGTGCGTGACTGCAGAGCTCAGCGTAGTGAACGAGCGGCGCAACTCAGCTGCAAAGCCAAGGTTTCGGGGGTGGAAGCATGAAGGACCATGAATCAAAAAGCGGAAAAGGAGGGTAACAGCTTGTGAAGCACTCTGCAGGTACATGGTTGAGCGTCCTCAACCACTTCCCTTCCAGTGACCCAGCTTCGTTGGATCAGGTTAGTCACTGGAAGCCTGATCCCCCTGCCGTGGTAGCTGACAGAACCCTTAGGAACAGGGGTTGACACACACACAAAACGGGAGGCATCTGTTTCAGACGTACAGTCCCAAAAACTAACATGGAAGTGGACAACCACCTGTTTGTAGTGGAAAACGGTCTTCCAAGGGGCCATTCTCCACTTCCATGTTAGTTCCAGGGAGTGTATGTGCACTTGTGTGGTTGCCTTTTGAAGCACCCGGTCCTTCGGTCCTTGGCGTTGCGCCTTGGCATCTCCAACGTTTTGGGACCTCGTGTCTCGATGATCTTCGACCCGTGTGCTTGCGCCCGATGCTTCCTGTGAAAGAGAGATGTCAATGTCAATGGATGGGTTTTTTACGGGAAATTCGTGGTTTCAACCCAGGGTATTCACCCCCCAAGTAGTCTTGGGTGTCCGTGGAAACGTCCGCTTTTTTTGTCCCTTGCACATCCTTGGACCACTTTCTGGGAGAGAGGAAAAAAGAGTATCGATCGAATCCCCGGTCGGGTTCCCATCCGAAGGTAGGGACGTGTCAGCCCGCGCGAACACCCAACCACCGACTACGGCCGGAACCGAAACGGAGGTCCAGGTAGGCCAGGTACGGCCGACACCGGAGCGGCGAACCCGCTGCAGGAGGGAATTGCCGACTACGCCGCCGTGGCGCCCGAGCAGGTGACGAATACTGGTGGGGGAACAAATGGTGAAAGGGGGATTCTGGGGAGCTTTTGTCTCCATATTCCCTGTTATGATTTTTGGTTGATGTTCAACGTGACTTCCTTGCTGTTTATGTTTTTTTTGGGGTCTTGTTTTGTGGGTTTAAGGGTCATAACCTTCACTTCATTGTTTGGATTGAATGAAGGGGATAATTGTTGAGGTGGTCAGAGTTTCTATGTGTAGGTTCAGGTTCAAATTCTACCAAGCTGTTCTTCAAAGATGTCGAATTATGTGCTTCAAATTCATGTATTGATTGAGGTTAGGCGCTGCGGTTCCTGTTTGGTTTTGCATATCAAGCATCCTTCAATCCAAAGCCGGTTTGGCACAAGTTGACTGAACCGATGTATTGGACATTCCGCAGATGCATCTTTGTGAGGCAGGTTCAGCTTGCGCCAGGCCGGTTCGTCCTTCAAAGCGGTCATGCACGAACGCAACCCGCGACAACAATCATCCACCTCATCTTAAAACCATTTGCCCCAGAAAAGTTAGAACCCCAAAAACCCCAGAACCCCCCACACATAAAACATCAACAGCAAGGAAAACACAATTGAACATCAAAAAAACATCATAACAAGCAACACACCAACAAATCCTCCCCAGAACCCCCCTTTTACAATTTTTTTTTGGGCTCTGGGAGGGCATCGCCGCGTTGCGTAGCTCATCTGCCATATGCTAGCTCGGAGCAGGGCAGCCCATGACCTCAGTCGATGGCCATCGTCGTGGCAGAAGTCCTCATGACCCAAACTGATTTCGGATCCTTCGCTTCGGATCCTTCACTTCAGTGTGGTCTGGCAGAGTTCGCCCGGGCTGCGGTGCGTCCTCATCCCCTGGTTCGGTTCAATCCACCTCTCCGCCCTCGTGACGACACCCGAAGCAGTACGGTGTCGGAGAGCCGTGCTTCGCCCGCGTCGTCTTCCGTCGCTTCCGCTCGAGGTGCTCTTTGTGAACGGCTCGGATCAGGGCATCGACTTGGTCGTGCGTTGCTGTTGCCCCTTCGGCTCGGAGGTGTGGCGGGAACGGGCGAAAAGGGCGTTGGCGGGCGAAGCGGCGGAGGTGCCAAAGGGCAGGAATGCAAGGTCTTGGGACCAGGAGTGAACCAGACCCAGAGGCTAATTTATATCATCTATAGATGTTGAAATGAGCCCTGGATTTTTGTTTTGCTCATTTTTTATTGGTTCATGCATGTGTCAGTAGGAGACCGGAAGATTGCAGGTTTTCCGCTTTAGTTCCTGGCATGCTCGATCAAACCAATCTTCTTTCAACCCCCATTGCTAGGGTGGGCTGCATCAACATGTGTGGAAACATGTGGAAACCCATTCCAGGATGTTGATCGTGTTTGAGCATCCATTGAGGATTAGCCATACATTGGTATTTCCGGACCCCTTTTCGAACACCGAGTTGGGGTGTGGACTTCAGTATCTTCGGTGACCGCCTGCAGAGTGTCCCTGGGCCTTTCCCCTACTTCTTTGACTTGTCTCTCTAGCATCCCGGAATTGGTTTCAGGATGTTTCAGGCACCATGGAAGCGGAAAACCCATAGAAACCCATCGTTTGGGGGGGGTGAACAACCATGGGGTTTCTACCAAAAGGTACCTCAAAGCTTCGGGAGTCGCACACTACCCCTGTTGCTTCGTTCAGTCGCCTGAAGAAACCTCGCTCCTCCACGGGGGGCCAGGTCATCATCCCCTCGCCCACCTTCGCCATGTTCGAGCTGCTTGGCTCGGTGGAGCGTGCGGCCTCGCGGAACGACCGGGACCCGCGGGGTCAAAAGCGTCCGCTTTTGGAGCCGTGGGGGTGATTTCGGTCGTGTGGTCCGTGTGAAAAAAATGATGGGCCAAGAGAAGAAGACATGTGTAGGCACATCCAAAGTGGCAAGAACAGGTTCCAAGTGGTGGGCTTTGGGCTTTGGTTCCAAGTCTAACATAGTCTGTACCTGCTCCCAAATCAAGATTAGTTCCTGGCACGACGAATTGCTCAACTGCTATGTTTCAATCTCAAATCAAGCTAGATAGTTTTCAGTCAGTGCTACACCGTCCCGTGGGTTTTTCATGTTCTCGATGTCGATGCCTGGAATGGCTG